GGAATACAGTTTCCTCATTTAAACAAACAAAAAAAAGCTTGTCCTGATAGTTTCATTAATGTCCTCAAAATTAAAATAACTACCATCAAGTAAAAACACAGCCCTTATTTGCATGTATTATTTAGAGCAGGGCGATATGGCCAAAAATATTTATCACGATATATATATTTGAAAATTTGCGATAACGATATAACCGACGATATAATTGATGCGAGACAAAATACAACTCCACAACATTACTAGCGCAAAAAGACAACCTTCCATTTATTTTCACTTAAACAAGAAGCTGGTTTTTATGTACATTAAAGCTTTATAAAAATGTAACAGTGCAAATGCAAATTCCTTGCTGAAAGTTTAACCAAAAGGCATTTCCAGTAGAAATGGGCTGACATATCCTGAGCATAACCATGTATAATATCCACTGAAGTTAAAAAGAGGTGCTTTGCAACATTAAACTGCAGTGTGCAGTACGTATTTTTCGGACCATAAGGTGCACGGGATTATAAGGCACATTAAGCGAAACAAAGCAGTCAGATAAATCAAACTTTATTAAACTCATTCTTCTTGCTTCCTCCACTTCTGTACCATTGATTCATTAATGTTGAATTCTCTGGCAGCTGCTCTATTCCCATGTTGTTGCAGTATATTAATGACTAACCTCGTATTGTGGATGGATTATCTCAGTTGTTCTCCTGACTGAAGTTTGGTCCGTTTACAGCATCCTGCCATGCGATTGCATTTGTCTCTAACCATGAAGAACCTTCACGTTAACTTTTATAAGTGGAAAAGTGTTAGTGTTCGTCCTCCAGCTTCACTGTTTATGTTATGCTAACATAGCTGTGTCGCTAGCGATCACGTAGCACATCATTATATACCAGCTAGCCCAACTTCAGTAACCCTACAAACGTCACTGCTGTTTAGTTTCCTGTCTTCATTTATGTTGGAAGTGATAGCAGAGCTGTACGTTTGATTTTTTTCAGAAATCTCTCAGTCAGAACATGCTATATCATGCTTAGGTAACTAGCGAAACTAGCGAGCTAACTTCCGCTAGCTTCCTGCTAACTTCTAACTCCGTTAAATGTAATAACTTTTGTTTTCATGGATGCCTGGAAGTTAAACTTTATAGTTACACCTGGTAAAGCAGCAATGCTGATCGTTTTATTAAAGATGAAAGAATTTAGACAGTTTTTAACTCTAAGTGATGCTGCAGTGTTGTTTGACCTGAAGCATACGGAGTTTAGGACCCAGATTACTCCCAGATTTAAGAGCATCTTAGTCCGACAAATACGACAATAACGACGGCCGCTTGCATGTTCTGCAAAAAAATGTGCTTTGTTGTGTATCTGACGGACAAACACCAAACCAGTTCCACATCACTGAAGTTGCACCATTTTTACAAACCAATTCTGGTTCATCTGTTTCACTCAACAATCGGCCATGTGCGTATGAAAACAAAGGCACTGCGCATGCGCGTTTTACTCCCATTCTATCGCGATATTTCATTTTCCTATCGTTGCCTAACATTATACCGGTATTACCGTGAACGGTATAATATGGCCCAGGCCTAGTATTATTCACCTTATTGCTATTCTTGTTTAACACGCTGTGCGTGAGAAGTTGTGCACTGAAAGTATTAAAACATAGTTTTTTCTTTTTCTTGTCCTTACATGCAAATGTCACTTTCTCCTCACACATTTCTTATACTGGACAAATTCCAAGGCTGCTACATGTGATGCAATTTATGTCATATAAATGTGTTATTGGGACTGTGTGAAAATAGTATCGTGTAAGACCTTGAAAGATTTGTTATTGAAAAGCTTATTAAGGCCTATATTTCACATCATTTTGATGGCTACCTGTTAAACAGGCGGTTTTATTTATGCTGTAAGAGATCAAATGTTTATTAAATAAATTTAAAAAAAAAAATTATAGTATATATATACTTATATATATATTAATATATATATATATATATATATACTATATATTAATATATATATATATATATATATATATATATAAATATATAAATATATAAATAAAATATCTTATTAAATGATTCAGCATTTAATAATTCAGCATTTTTCCAGGCTTTTTTCCCTTTATAGTTAAAAATTGTAACATATTGTAGAGTATCTTGCGGAATACATCGAGTTAGTCTGCGTCCACAACTTTGCATACAGTGTCTTTGTCACATGTCAGTACACTCAGGACTGTGTAATACCATTTGAATACTTCTCAACTGTGGACACTGGCACTTCCAGACATTCCTTTTCACGGTGTCAGGGAGATCTTGGTGCTCACGACTCGGCATTGTCTCGCTAAAACGTAGTGATGGGCTTCCCCTGCTGCCAACGTGTTTGCCTTGGCCTCCTTTCAAGTCTGCTGTTGGACTGTTGAGGGCTCCAATAGTTTAGATCGGTCCTCCTTTCTTTAGCAGAGAGCTTCAGCAGAATAATGTCGTGAGAATCTCAATGAGGCCCAGAGGGATCAAACTAGAGTGAGAAAGAAGATGCCACATTAACTTGTTTGTAATGTTTTGTTTTGTTTTTCTCTCTCCGAAAGTCGAGCGAGACAGTTTGAGGGATGATGTGCACAGAAAGTTGTAATACCCACATCAGAGAGCTGTTATGTTGAAACATTGTTTACTATGTGACTTAGTCCCTTGTCTTAAGTCTGGCACTGTGACATTTTGCTGTGAGCTATTTTTGCGCGATGAACTTGGCACCACAGAACGACACACAAACGCACACATCAGTTTTCTCTTTGTGCCCAAACCTGGTCTGTCCCCACACTGACATACTATAGGGGATTTGAAATAGATTGTGGTGCTATGTGCACTTATTATGTGTGACTATCTTCTTAAAGCCTCAACTAAAGAGCAGGCTGGATTAGTATTACTTTTTAAATCTGCATCCTTATTATCATAAAGTGCATTAGATACATTGTATATAAATATTCTAATAAGCTGATGGGTTATCGGGGTCATTCTCAAATTGACGTAACAGTTTTTGTAAAGTAGGTAAAATCCTGGCTTTTTAAGCCATTCTTGAACGCTCACTCATTGTTAATCATAAACAATAAATCAAAGTGTTTAGATTTTATGGTTTTTGGGGAGACGCCCCAGTTGATTCAAAACAAAACAGTAAAATGTGTTTTGGCTGAACTGGCTTAAAGGCAGTGGTTTGTGGCTTTCTTTCCCACAACAAACACAAAAGTTGGACGTGCTGGCTCTGTTTCAGATGAATACTTTGGACTGAATGCTTTCAGTTATAACAGGCAGCGATAAATTTAAAAAAAAGTTCTTGAGCACACACAGAAACCTACAGTAATTTGTTTGCATTGGCTTGTTTGCAGATGTAGTTCTGGTGAGTGCTGGCTACTGCTTTTCTGTGTCAGATAAGTTTTACAGCTTAGCTTTGATTTCCAGAACTTCCATCTTTTATTTATAGTCGCATACAGCAGAGTGTTCCTAATAAACTTCAAGTTTCATTTTGTTACAAACCGTCTTTGTGTTTGAGGTCTCCATTTCTTTTTAAACAAGTGTTTCTGAGACGGTGATGCTTTAGGGTGGTTCACTGTTAATGATTACTGTTCAGTCACTACTAAAGTCTGGTCTGGCCAAACTTCTTTTTCATTTTTTCCTTTATAAAATCGCTGACATTAAATGTTTTGTGTGTTTGTGTCTGAGATCCATCATTTAGAATCCACATGGTCTTTGTGTGTGGGGTTGCACAAAGTGACACTGGCTGTAATAAACTATGACATCTGTCACAGCAGCGAGTGGGTGAGTTAAAGTGAAGCTAAAAAAGAGCAACACATGAAAAATACTAATGCAGCTGTTTGAATTGTCGTGTTTTCACTGAGTGCATTTAGACTCAGACTATCAAAACTATCATTGGTGTATAGTTGCATTCTCTCCCCCCCCCAAAAAAAAAAAAAAAATCAGTTTCCTTCTCCGAGGCAGGCCTGTCATGTAGTATTAGTTTGCCAGTTAAACACATCAGACGTGCGTCTGGTGCCCTTTTGCAGTGAGCTGCGTGTGTTGCAGTGGAGTGGAACTGTATAAGTGGGTAATGAGGCTGTAACCCTCAAGGCTGCTGTGTGTGTGGGACGAAGCCAAACAGTCACTTCAAAAGTTAATACTTTGTCAAATGATGCCAGGACACCGGGCACTTCCATGCATGTGCACTCGACTCGTTCTCCCGTTTAGCTTGGAGCAAGTTACATGTGCACATGTTTTTGCGTGTCAAGACCCAGGGACGGGGCTTTACAATCATCTGGGTGTTGGATTTCCTATTTAGAACTGCGTGATGGCGGTAATACTCTACCTTTTATCCCTGCCTTATATTGCTATTGTAAAGCTACATTTTTCTATAATTGTACAGTGTCTTTTTCTTTCCCCTCTCTTTTCTTAACCCTTGCCTTTATTCCCATTTATTTCAATCAAGCGTGACCTTTGCGTGTGCTTTTCATGTCAGAAACTTTGGCACGTAATTGAACTTGATTATATAGTAATGGTGGGTGGCATTCCTCGCAGGTCTCGATGACTGTGATAGTCTTGCTTTAAAGAGCCAACAATGATGAGATGAGCGGCGTGTCAAAGTGTTTGGAGTGTCCGTTGGTGGACTCGTGTAAGCTCCAAAGAGATTTCGAGGGATTTTCAGTCATGTCTACTTTTCTACTGAAACCCTTTATCAGTTCTCATGATGTTTATGCTTTAAGGTTGTATGTACTCATTTCTTTGCATTTAACTCATTCACTGCCAGCCATTGGCAGTGAATGAGTTAAACCCATTGACTCATTCACTGCAATTGACGGCTATAGACGTCAATGGCAGTGAATTAAAAAAGTGAGTTAAAATATAAAATGAATAAAATGGGTCTTGAAGGTCATTTGGAATATATGCATCTTCTTACAATTGCTGCCACACTTTTTCATGTGTCGGGTCATTTTAAAACGACTGTTGATTTTCATCTTGTTACCTCCTTGTTCTGCAGGATGCCAGCTACTGGCTGCAGGTTCACCGGTTGGAGCATGGTGATGGGGGAATCCTCGACCTGGATGATGTGCTTTGCGATGTGGCTGATGACAAAGACAGGGTGAGTAGACATGAAGTCTTTCAAATTTTCTTTTTTTTTCTGTTTTCCAAAGCACAGGAAGTGCTCACTGACCAGACAGATAAGAGATTTTGTTGTGCACCAAAGCGCCTCTTATCGGTTTCTGGATTTTCATTAATGCCGTCGTTAACCATTTCTTTAATCAGTTAAACGCTCCCCATATTTACATGGCCTCGCCTATCTCTTGGTAAATCTAAGTTAAACAGATCGAGCAGTGTGCTTTACTTTAGAGCTCCTGAACCACGACTTTCTGAGGTCAGGAATGTAAATATTCAGTTGTTTTCTTCCCAAAGTCTACAGCTATCAAACTAGGCACTCATCATTTGTGCGTGCAAATAAACTCCAACCTCCCTGACTGTGTTGCCATTCTGATTCAGGCCATGGTGGTTGGTGGGGGTGTTATGGTTAAAAATCCCAAAAAAGAACAATGAAGGACAAAAAAGTTGGTCCAGAAAAAAAGATATTTGTATAGATAACTGAAACATTTTTTTACTGCTGTTATTCATGAGCAGCGTCTCAGCCACTGGTGGTGTGCGACAATTTTGGGAGAGTGTGTCATGATTTATGAGTTTGATCGTCGACTTGCAAATTCTGAACACATTTTAACGGCTACTAAATCACTGTGATTTTGACTTTCTACAATAATTAGTTAATGCAACAAAACCCCCGTCCACTTCTTATATAGTTTTTTGGAGACCTGGAATGTAAATCTGCCCGTCTGTGAAGCACTTTGGGTCGACTTGTGTCGTTTAAATGTGCTCTAGGCTATAAAAAAAATAGATGCCACACTCAACTCAACATTTTTATAGTGAAAATTTTAAGTACATTTTCAGTTAAAAAATGATAATAATTGCACAATTCAGTGGCCTACATACTAAACTTAAAGGATAGAAAGTATCAATCCTTTTGAGCCAGTATTGATCCAGTACCAATACCAGGATTGGTATCGACGCTATCGATATTTGGATCTCCCACTTCTATTAGCTGCACTCATTTGTTTTCAGCCAATCAATGCCAGGTATTATTTCTAAGCGGTTCATTTGGCCAGTAATCTGAAAATATATCGAGAGTCTCTGTGAGGTATTCCACTGGAAACAGACTTCTGCACATAGATAAAAACTACTGATTGTATTTTCAAAGATGAAGAGCTGATTTTTCCATAGGTGCTAACAGTTTTAGAAGTCGTAACATTTGGTAGAAGTTTGGCGACCCAAACACGAAAACTCCAGCTAAAGTTAAAGTAAGAATTGAGATTTCAGGTGCACAGGATCTACTTAACTTCTCCCATCTGCTCTACAGTCAGTGGCTCAAAGGAGTCTTTGTGCTTTCTGTGGCGCACACTCTCTCATGCAACCCTTTCAACCTTTGTTTATAAGCCCTCATGCCTCAGTGTTTATCTGCACGTTTGTGAGTTCATGTGTTTACGTGTGCACCCTTACAACGAGCTGTCATCATGCTCATCTTTTCGCATCCCTCGGTCTTTTATGCTCGGCTCTCATTGGTCCCTGCAGGCGTTTCGCGCAGAAGAGTGTGCGTACATTTCATACATGACAACCTGTCAGCCTCGCTGACACACATCTGCATCACTCTCACCGCTATGACACAAAATCCTTTGCGGGTGGATGTTTTGCTTTTCTACAAAGTTTGAATGTACACAGGCATCAGCCATAAGAGCAGAAGCACCCGTTTAATGTAGTGTAGCAGAACATTAAACAGGTAGCAAACGAGACATTGTAACGAGATGTTATCCTTTCTATATTAGCCCAGTGAGTGCTTGAAGAGATGCTCTTCCTTTTGTGTAATTATTTATGATGATGACAAATAAAAGTGATAATGTTACACAGCTAATACAGATGCTACAATTTTTTTTTAATATAAATTGCTTATGTTTATAATGTGGCTTCATCAAGTGGCGCTCCTACCAAAAGAAATATCCCTTATAAGGATGTGAAACAGCACCACAACCAGCTTTCTAAACATTCTTTCAAGTACCAGCGATGTCAGTGAACCTTAATATTTTTACTTTTAAATTTAAATTTGTCATCAGTAGTTTTAAATGTTCTCCCATTGTTTTTAGTTTTTGAAAACTGTGGATTTGTGTAGATTTAACACTCCAACAGGAAGAGTCTGATGTGCTTTTACACTGATCCACATTCATGTACACTTAGCGCGAGAAAAGAGGGGAAACGTAGGGACATCAAACATGCATGAGTGTGAGTGACTCCGTGTGTCCCACTGAACATGACTGGTGGTCTCCTGGCAGCTGTGACTCATCTCTGCCATTGCACAGGAGCTTTTTAAAGACTGGAAGGAATGTCTGGCCCATCACACAAGGACACTTTTATTAGCTTACACTGGAATGAAATGGGCTGCGTGTAGTGCTCATCTGGGGAATACAAGTATATACAACACAGTTTAATACTTTACCGAGTGTTTGTGTCTGTATCTGTGGAAGCACCTTTAAGTATAAAGTGTGTATTTAACACAGTACAGTCAGTATCATCGTTGCCAGAAAAAAGTGGCAGTTTGAACTCACACAGAGGGAATATTTTTTCAGATGCCATCTTTTCCTTCTTTCATCAGACTTCCTTCCTTTCCCCCCTTCATACCATATTTTCTATGAACTGTAACAACATCAATAACTAAGAATCTACTTTGGCTGCTGACTGTCTTTATAGTTCATAATTCAGTTAGTAGTCATTGCTTGTGGTCATAGAAGATACCTGTTTGATTGGCTGGATGGTTTAAATGGTATTACTTGGGACATTCACTGGAATAGAACAGAATAACCCTTAATTGTCATTGTACATGTGCAATGAAATTGTGGGTGATCCACACCAACAGTGCCAGAATAAAATATAAACAGTAGACAAAAAGAATAAGTAGCAAGCAGGGGAAATGTATATAATCAAGAGGGATGCATAGAAAAATAAGAGAAGGGCACAAATTAGGGAACAAGTTGCAAAGTGCTTGGAAGTAGTGCAAAGAAAAGCCTGACTAGAGTCCATGTGTGAGTGACCCGAGCGAGGTGGGTTACTCGGATCATGGCTCAGAGTGGTGCAGTGAGTGAGTGGGCTGGGGTGGGGTGGGGTTAGGGTTAGGCCCAGGGCAAGGAGCTGTTAGTGAGACTGGTGGTGCGGGACCTGATCGACCTGAGGCGCCTACCAGAGGGCAGCGGGTCAAACAGGTGCTGGACGGAGTGCTGTGATGGCCCAGGTTTTACTGAGACAGGAGGATCTGCTGATGACCTCCAGGGGTGGCAGAGGGCAGCCAGAGGGCAGTATTAATTATACTGTCTGCAGCCTCCCTGTTCTCAGTACAGCATTACTGTACTATATGTGCTTAATGTATTTAAATTACTCAGTCAAGGAACAATATTAATTGCAAGTGAATGAGCTAATTATTAAATAGAAACCAAATCTCTCTCTTGCTCTCGCTTTCTAGTCTTGTGCTGTGGCTCCCTCTTCCCTTTCTCCCCTTCATGTTCATGTTTATTAGCCACATGGAGGTGTGGTAGTTAATGTGTGGTGAAAGCATGATAGGTGAAGCAAAACTGGAATAATAATGGAGTCTTAAAAAAAAAAAAAAATTAAAAAATGTATGACTTCTTTTTCACTGGCGACCCAACACTGTACACTGTTACTAATGGAGATCATGAAGCGTCTTGCTTTGATTGGATTACATAAAGGTGGAAATTTTTCTGCTACTTTACGATAGATAAGTGCAGCTGTACAGTAGTCACCTGCAGACACAGTGTACGTGCTAAGGTTTGGCCTGCAACGTAAAAATACTTTGATCATCCTCACCAATCTTTATTGTGTTGTCTAAAGTCCAGGGGCAGTACATTAATAGTTACCTAAGACATGCACACACTCTTCTACACTGCAACACACACGTGCAGTCTTGGCAGCACAACACTACCCAGCATTACCCACCTTATATCTTCCCCTCGTGCTTGCATTGTTTTGTTTTGTTTTTTCCAGGAGCCCAACGAAAACATGCTAGATTAAAGCTTCCCATCCTGCCCCTGGACACTGGACCTTCATATGCGAACACTCGGATATCTTTGCTACCTTCTGTCATCCAGTTCTCTTTGCTCTCTTCTGACGCACACCCACCGACGTACCCCGGGAGTCTTGATGACAGACTTGTCCCTACACAAACTCCTGCAGCGATGTCACAACCCTAAGTGACGGCACCTGGGCTGTGCCAGCACCACATTCCTCTGAGCGTGTGTGGTGTCAGGGTGTGCCGCACAGCTGCGCTTGCCTTCACTCCATCGCTGACACGTCTGGCCCCGGTCAGCATGGTGTCTGGCTCTGTGACAGGCGCGCTGAATATTTAGCTCCGTGTGTCGGGGTGTACGTGTGCAGACATCTGTGCCTTCTTCAAACATGTTAAATTTACACAGCGTCTTCATTGCATCGGTGTTTAACTTGGATGTGGAAAAGTTTGAGTGTTTTTGTACGTTTTGTTATGTTTTGATTAATACGATACACTGAACAGAAAGACCGAGTGATGTTCCTTGTATACTAGTTCTGGCTTGAGTTTGCCTTATGCATGTTTTTGATTTTGATCCAGGCGATATCTTAGTCTGAGCTGAATATAGAAGCGTCTTCCCGTGTAGGAGACGAATAGACACAGACAGGAGGGGCCGCTGGGTTAAATAAACCCAGAGAAGTTTCTTAAAACCACTCCATCAGTCTTCTGTTTATCTTGTCACAGAATATCAACAGACGAGCAGGCTACCACTCACAGTTGGCGTTGCGCGTGCATGTGTGTGTGCATGTGTGGAATCGGAGCAATATGATCCTTGTGAGCAAGTGTGCTGACTGTCATTCATGCCTTTGCAGGGCTTGCTACTAAATTACTTAGTGTTACTTTCTTTGAAGCTTTTTTTTTGTGCATAATTTAAGATTTTAATCTTGATACTATTAAAAATATATTTAATAGCTTTTGTGCAAGAACTAAATATTTAAGAA